TACTACTCCTGCTCCTGCGCTCTCTCTCTCTCTCTCCCTCCTTCCTCATTTATCTGAGTGTTTTGCCTCCGTGAGCATCGTGAATGAAAGTACTTCGTGTGCATGCCTGGTGTCTGCAAAGGTCACAAGGAGGGTCAGATCCCCTGGAACTGGAGTTACCATTTAGGGATGCAGGAAAAGTTCAGGGATTGAGTTATCTGGGCCACAGTGGCTGGCTTCCTCCTATCTGCCCCTGCTCCGCGGAGCGGGTGGCCCACTTGATTGGCAGGTGTGTTAGTAAGCTTAGAGGCTACTTGGAGGAGGGAGGTGTTGAGACTCCTGTCTTTGTCTTTAACCACGCACTGTGATGGACGATTCTAGCATTTTTTCTGAATTGGTTTTAAAACGTTCCTGCAACACAGTGAGCTTGCTCCCTCGCTGTCACGTTGTACCGAAAGCTGCTTTTCAGGTTGTCCTTACTCATCATTGAACTCACCATCGCTAGCCCGTTGGTGCCATAGTTTGACCTTCCTGTGCTGGGCAGCACAACCCCTCCACGCTCCACACCTAACCTTACTGCCCAGAGTCTAGACCCAGAGTCCCAGACCCAGGGAGCAGCCAAGACCGCAGGCACCTTCCAGACCCAGGGAGCAGTCAAGGTCTTCTCACTTCCACCTCCTCCTCCCCGAAGCTTCCAGCAGTGGTTCTCAACCTGTGGGTCGTGACCCCCACTGACCCTTTCACAGGGGTCGTGTATTAGGTGCCCTGCATATCAGATGCTTGCATTACTACTCGTAACAGTAGCAACATTAGATATAAAGTAGTAACGAAATAATCTTCTGGTTGGGGGTCACCCAACTGTATTAAAGTGTTACAGCGTTAGGAACGTTGAGAACCACGGCCGGTTTTCTTCTTCTGGAAAAACGGCAGTTTAGCTCTTAGCAAACCTAAACCTTCAGCCTGTGGAGATGGCACTTTGGTTTACATCTTTGAAACTTACCTGAGAGCTCCAGGAATAAGAGCCTGGAAAAAGGTATATTTGAACGACTGTGCGCTGTTGGTTCACCCCAGCAGCTGCTTGCAACTGAGAGTCGGTGAGCTACTGGGTTGTTTTGGTGAGAGTGTAAGGAGACTACAGAAGGCACAAATCATTTTATTTATGTGATTTTAATCACTGTAGCAGGTGGCATTTAGGAGCGTTTGCTCCAAATAAATACAAAAGCGCACCGCCATAACCTTAAATATAATGTAATAACACATTATTTAAAGTATCCTATCAAAGGTGGCAAGACTTAGCAGTGAACATTGGTAATTCCAGCACGTGGGAGGCTGAAGCAGGAGGAATGAGTTCAAAAGCAGCCTAAATTACACAGCAAGCTTGAGGCTAGCCGCAGGAACACACCAAGACCCTATCTTAGCAAAACAAGAAATCAGCAAAGCTTTACCAAAGCGTAAGGCACACAGATAGCACCTGCCACATAGTGTTCAGCTGCTTCCAGTCAGCACATGAGAACACGTGGGAACTCTCCGCTGCTGGAGAAGGCATCGAGCTTGCAGCAAGCCCCTTCATGCATAAAGCAACAGGCACTGAACTCTGTCCCCATCAGAACAAATGCACCAACAGGATGGCTCCCATGGGCCATTGTTTGCTCAGCGGTCTAAAGGCTGGAACTGCTTCTGACATGAACTGATTGGCCTGCTCTTTGATCACCTCCCCCTGAGGGGGGGGCAGCCTTACCAGGCCACAGAGGAAGACAGTGCAGCCACTCCTGATGAGACCTAACAGACTAGGATCAGAAGGAAGAAAAAGAAACCCTCCCCTACCAGTGGACTTGGGGAAGGGAATGAGTGGAGAAGGGGGAGGAAGGGAGGGATTGGGAGGGGAGGAGGGAGGGAACTAGAGGGGGGATACAAAGTAAATAAAATGTAATTAAAAATAAAATTAAAAAATTAAAAATAAAAATTTAATAATAATTTACAAAAGGCTGGAACTGTATCTTCTTTGTGTCTCCTAGTTTCCGGCAGGCGCTGTCTAGCGTGTCACTGCTCAGATTGTGAACATATTACCTGAATCTGTCTTCCTAGCAGGAGGTTTCCCTACCCTCTGTGAGCCTGGGCTTGAAGTTCCTGCTTGGAATCTCAGGGTATGAAATATTGAAAGACACAGCTGAACCCATGATATACCCCTAACACGTAAGTCACGGTTTCCACATGGCACAAACTTGTCATCACAGCTCTTGGAAGGTTGATGCCTCCAAGTTTGAAGGCAGCCTGAGATACAGAACAAGAAGTATCATTTCTGCTGGACCTACTTAACAAGCCCTTGTTAAAAACAAAGAAATAAACAAACAAAACAAAACAAAAACAAGGATGACAAGAATAAAGGTAGAAATCCTCAATCAAAGCCAGCTCCACTAGACGCCCAGCCATACTTTTCAAAGGAAAGTTGAGGAAAGCCTGCTCGCTTGTTCTGGACAGTGTCGGAGAGCAGAGGTGCCGCTGGGACCTTGGCTCACACAAGCCTCCCAAGAGGCGGGTTCTGTGCCCTGGGAGGGAGGGTACAGCTCATCACGCCACCTTCCAGCAGGAAGACAGGTGCCCGGAAGACACGGCAGCTCCGGACGGGCAGATGAACGCCTGGTGACAGTGAGCGAGGCACCGACTTCTAGGAACTGCATCCGAGACTGCGAGGGCGGGCCGGGCCAGCTTCCACCGAGCCTGCGCAACAGGCAATAAAACGCAGCGGCGAGAGGAGGGCACACATATGGATGAGGACCAACGTTCCGCTCCCTCGGTTCCCAGGAGGGCCCCCAGTCTTCAGGAGCGTGAAGGAGTGTACCCACCTTTCCTTAGCACCAGCCCCTGCCCTCTGCCCCTGCTTTCCAAGGCAGGAGCAGAGCTTAGGAACCTCACGCTCAAGCACCAGCCGGCTGTAGTTTTCCATGGCTGACACTAGAGGGCAGACCACTAAAACTTTCCTGTTCTAATGGTTGCACGCTTGGGAAGTAAGGACTTGCATGGGCCGCTTGTTTTGCTGGGCACCGGTTCTTTCTGGAATTGGCACACACCGTGTAAAACCACGAGTTCACCCACTCTTTGATACACTTGCCTTGGCCCTCATTTCTAGAAGCGGAGGGGTAGGACCAGCGGGTCTAGCTCAGGCTAACTGGGAGAGGATAGATCAACCTTTTGGGGCCAATAGTTTTTAGGCTCAATGAACTTTTGGGCAGGTTTATAGGGGACCAGCAAGCCTCTAGAGGGAACCAATATTTTCTTCAAATCAAGAAATGTCCTAAAAACCACAGTGTAATAGAATCTGCTGTTATAGCAAGCCTCTCAAAATAAACAGATAAATAAATCAAATGAAAAATAAAGCTAGAGAACACTGGGGTGGCTTTACCGTCAGTTTAGGTTCTCTTCCCTGCTTCCTGCGCCCAAACCCAGGAACATCTGACTGCTGTGCCCCTAGCCATGTTTCCAGTATAAGTCACAACTCAGCCCTGTCCGTTCTTCTGGCTGCACGTCTAGTTTCCACCCGCTGAGAATGGTCAGGATCTTGCTATCACCGTTCCTTGTCCTAGCGTGCAGGCCGCAGTGGCCAGTGTTTATGGAGAGGCTCCCAGTCCTTCCTCGGAGGTCTGCAGATTTCCCAAGGGAAGGAGTGAGTACCGATGCAGAAATGGCAAAGCTTGCTGGGGAGGGCCTGCCAGGTCCCTGGGCTCCGACCCTCATTGTTCAACCCACCGGCTTCCCAGGGCTCTTCTCCAAGAGAGCCGGAAACAGGCCGGGGAGAGCCAAACGCTGCAAAGTGATTCCATCCCTGCCCACACAAACACCAGCCCCGAGGGGCCGAACACTTTCCCAAAGAAGCCAAAGCTTGGACGGAGTCACCTCTGTGTCCTGGAGGGCAGTCAGCCTCGGACCTGGGGCAGGAAGGCAGCCCAAAGAAATGTCAAGGGGTATACCCTGGGGAAAGAAACGGGTTTTCAAGTACTCCCTGGCGAGAAAAAAGAAGTTCAGTTTTGTTTTGTTTTTTGTTACTGTTCATTTTATGAATAACACATTTTTTATATTACAGAAGCAATCTTCATGGGGACCAGTAAACAGCAGAAATATAAAAGAAACTTAGTCATCTTCCCCCAAAGTCTATGGTGTTCAGGAGGAAGAAACTTCTGCTAGCTATGAGCCTTGAAAACAAAGTATCCTTGCAGCTGGGACCAGAGTGCGGAGGGAATGACCAGACCCCATAGTACCAGATAATATGGGACATCAACAGGGCTTGGCCATCTTCAGCTGTGGACAGTGTCTTTAAAATCAAAATACTTGTGTCTTCTGTATCCAGGGCGGCGAGGCACAGCATTGCTCAAGTGTTGGGTCCCACTGCCCTGTCTGGCCTTAGAGTACTATAGGAAATGGGAGGTGTTGATTCCATTTGATCTGAAAAGTATTTTGCAGGAGTAATTCACAATAGAAGGAGACTTCATCTGGCCTTTTTCTAGTGGGTTACCACGATGGTGTCAAGAGACTACTTTCTTATAAGAACTGTATCTTTTGTCTGGGTCCACGGTATTTAAGATGTTCATAGAGCTTTTAAAAATATATACACAGTCCAGAGTGGCAGGGTCAAGGTTCCCAAGGTGTCTGTATGACAGAGAACACCTACCCACACGATGCTTTTTCTACACTTAGCAACCCGGAGACTCAGTCTCTCCAAGCACGAGTTTCCCCTTCCTTCCTGGACTGACCAGTGTCTCTCAGAATCAACGTGTGGTTTCACCAGCATCTTAGGAACTCAGCAGCACAAGTGGAGGCCCACTGGGACCTCCCTCCTCAGGGATTCTGGGGGTGATGGTGGTTGCTGGGATACGGGATTGAGACTGAAGTCCCAGGCACACTACACATGAGCGGCCCTCCTGGCCCAGGCCCTTCATGTTTTGTTTTGTTTTAAAACAATCTATTCCAGTGTGTTTTACATTAGCCAGCATCTGAGAAATATTCAGAAAAGAAGTCATGATGCCACGTAAGGTAGAACCAAGTTTATTAATGACAGCTTTTATTACAATCACTCTCGAGTGTAAAAAATAAAGGGTGATTAAAATTGAAAACTCACTCGGGCTTGTGTTTTGGCTTTCACTGGATGTGCCCACAGGGTGGGGGTCTTGCCTGGTTCTGCATCAACTGGCCAGAAGCAGTTCACTGGAGGATGAGGTAATAAAGAAGACAGAAGCGCCAATCCGAGAGCACGGGGGTCCGTGTTGGAGGACATTACAAACGGCGGCCGTGGGATGGGCAGGGGTGAAGCCACGCGACCTCACGTCCACGCATGGAATGACTATCTCTACCTACAGCGGACACAAACACAAACATGCAGAGCCCCGCGCACCGGACTGGAGAGATGAGACTTCAGACGAGGGCTTGGTTGTCGGCGCTCCAAGGAGACCGTGTTGGTCAGCCACAGCAGTGCGCATGCGGCAGAAACGAGAGCCCGTGCTCCACCTCCGCTCAGAACGCTGGCTGGCGGGATGCGGAGCTGCCATCAGCGAGGCGGTGGTCCTCCCAGTGACCCACAGACTAAACTCTGCTCCCCGTGAAAAGCAACATCCAAGGGATGTCACAAGCTGGGCCCAAATCCACCTTCCCGGTGGGCACGAGGCAGGAGAGGAGCCTGAAGGTGGCTTCCCACCTAGCGTCACAGAACCCCGGGCTGGGCCTCAGTGCAGCCCTTCAAGTATTTGTGCTTTGTCACCAACCCGAGGCCACCTCAGCGAGGACAGAGCTCTGGCCATGCACTATACTAGGCTTGTTTTTTATTTTTAATATATGACAAAACTAAAGTTGCAAAAAAAGAGAAAAAAAAAAACTCATTATATGCTTTTGACTGCTGTCAACCCTGCTTCGGAACTTTATATCATTCAATGAGGACAGGGAGCCGGGGCATATGAAGACATGGCCAGGACAACATGCCACAACCACCCAGGGCTGGGGACCAATGACACAAACACTGATGAACACTCTCAAGTGTTCCTTGGAGAAGAACATGGTGGATTCGGGGTCACAGCACATGCGGGTGAAGATCATACAAAAACTTACTATTTTAAGTTGACTAGGAAACCATTACAGAGGACTGTGTCATAGCCTTTGCCTTTGGGACACAGAAAAGAACCAAAGTAACAACCAATAAAAAAGAAAGCAAAACACAAAAACGCAGCCCAGAGTATTTCAGAATATCAGAAGAACCCAACCATGGGCTTGGTGAGGTGGGGTGAGGGGGTGCTTCATCAGTGCCTCCCATTAACCTCATTTTCTCCTTGGATGTCATTGCTAAAGCTCAGGCTGGCCACTCAAAGGAAACGTGGCTCACAACCTCCGCCACCAGATGGGCTGCAGCCAAATGCCCAGCTCTCTTAATGGGATAGGCAGGCCAGAGAGCATATGCCACAACTGGACCCATCCTGCCCGACTCAGAATCTGAACACAGAGGACAACTGTTTTCTTCTCTGGATGACAGTTGCCAACAGTTTCTAGAAATGTGCATTGAGAGACTCCAAGATACATGGCCCTGGGGGGTAAGGGATTAAGTTTTAGCCAAGATGTGGACAGCACTGTATTCTCCGTAAATTCAAGTACATGAAGTGCCCAACCCCCCCTTTTCCCTTCCTGTAGTATCCATCTGTTTGTCCATCCATTCACGGCCACGGTAGAGATCCATGGCACAGACTCGGTGACTTTCACAATGCTTTGTTTTGCTTTGTTTTTGTTTTTCTTTTTTTAAGAGTTCCATCTGTGAGCGGCACTTCCCAGCTTCACCCCCACAGAAAGTAAGTTCTCGGCAGCTCCGTGGGGTGGGACTGCAGGCCTGTGACCAGGTCTCTGCAGCCCACCATCAGCCAGCACATGGAAGGTCAGTCAGAGAGGGGGTCAGTCCAGTGTCGTGCAGCAGTGGTGGCAGGGTTCTACCAGCTAGCCCTGACAGCTTCAATGTCACTCACCAAATTCTGTGCCAGGCATATCCCAAAAATCTAAACAACAACAAAGAAAGAACAGAAACCAAGTCAGACAAGTGGAATTCAAACACTTCTGGCTTTTCCTTGGCCGCTGGGTCCTCCCCCCTCCCTGCCTGGTAATCTGATTCTTCACTTGATCTATCTGCAGGGGATGGCGATGTAGTTTGGTCCGGTAGAGGGTTCACCCCACATATACACAAAGCCCTGGGGTCCAGCCCCAGCACCACAGAAACCCAGCACTGGGGACATCAGAAGCCACACGGGGCTACATCACAAGGTTGAGGCCAGCCTGGGATACATGATGCCTGTCTCAAAAAACAAATCAAATCAAAACAAATAAACAAAAACCCCAACAGCTGAAAAGACAGCAGAGACAGAGAGAGAAAACAAAAAACTGTAATTTTAGCATCCCTTTAGCTCTTCAATACTAAATACAGAAGATGTTCATTGCTGTCAGGCTAACCTGGTACCAAGAGAAGCCATTTCCAACCCTCTCTTAAAGCCTAGCTAGCTCTCATCTACCTTCTCTCTCTGTCTCTGGATTTGCCTGATCTGGAGATTTTGTGAAAATGGCTTCAGATAACATATGGTGCCTGTGACTTCCTTCATATACCAAAATGTTCTCTGGTTCATCCACTGGTACAGAAACTGTTCAAATGTAAAAGCCCACACAATCTCATGGGTTTGAATATTCAGTCCCTACCTAGTGGCACTGTTTTAGGATGTAGGAGGACATTAGAGACCAAGTGTGTTGCTAGGGACAGCTGTCAAAGGAGTTCTCCGTCTCTTAGCTGTTGCCATGGCCTCTCTTGTCTTCCCCACCATGGGTGCCATCCCCTGAACCACAGGCCCAAACAAATCTCTCTCCATCTGCTCTGTGAGGTACTGATCACAGTGCTGTAAAACTTCATGACCCAACTACGAATTTTCCTTATTTACACAGCACAAATTAAAGAACTCCAGTGAACACTTTATACAACATAAAGAAAGTTGAGGCAGCCTCAGCATGCACGCATGCACGCCCTAGCCTCTGTGACCAAGGAGGTCACGTGTGCATAGATCACGTGGGAAAGGCAGGCTGAAGCTCAGCTGGGCCCCTACCTCAAACAGTTGGGTCACATGGCCACCTGTGCCTTCTATGGACCTCACCTGCTCTTTCAGGTAAGAAGCCTTAATGAAGTCACACGAGCAAGGGACATTCCTGCTGGTGACCAGCCTGTCCCGCTACAGTATTCAGTGCTGATCTACCCGCTGCCCTGCTGAGGTCAGGCTTGGGATGTTCTGAAGGGAGACTTCACCACCTCACGGGGTCTGCAACTTCATCAGGTCCTCGGCTTCTCCCCTCTTCTCCTGAGAGTAGTGAGCCCCATCAACAAGGTCACAGTGGGAGGCAGAGCTCCAGGCTGCCTGGGTGGGCCATGGTCTGAAGCAAGGATGCAGGCTGGGCTGAGGTGACCCAGAGGTTGGGATGGTGAGACCCCGGGTACTCCCAGGGCACCGTGAAGATGTGGCGAGGGGGAGGGCAATGATGATGATGATGATAAGGGACACTCTACACAAAAGCGGCCGAAGAACAAAACTGTGGTGACTCTTCCACGGAATGTCAGCCGGCCAGTCTGCTCCATTTGTTCTGTGGCGCTTTGCTTTTGAGAAGGGTCTTCCTGTACAGTCTGACTTGCCATCCTTCTGCCTCATCACCTTCCTCCTCCCTGGTGCTGAGACTGCAGGCATGCAGAGCACACCTAGTCAGTTCATTCCTTTTTGATGGCTGTGTACTAACCCAACCACTGGGACATACCACAGTCTTCAAGGTCCTTTGATGGAGTCTTCACTGTTCTCAGTTCTTGCTGCTGTGAACACGTGTGCGCAGATGTTTCGGTAAATGAACACGTGTGTGCAGATGTTTCGGTAAATGTCGTTTCTTCATTCCTTTTGCTTGCATTCGTGGGAAGTTGTGCGGTCATACAGTACAATTTTCCAAAGAGCTGAGCCGTTTCTGCTCTCTCCCTATATGCTCACGAACACTCACTGTCTTTTTCACTCAAAGCCATCCTAGTGTGTAAGCAATGGTTACCCCATTGCGGTTTTGATTTGCAGTTTTCTGATGATATACTGACATCTTTTCATATGCAATGGGCCATTCCTATCTTTGCTGGAGAAGTGTCTACTGAAATAGTTCATATTTAAACTGGCTCTCGCTAGGTAGCCCAGGCTGGCCTTTTTTCTTGTTTGGCATAAGCCCTCTTGAAATATATTCTAGGAATTAAAATACCTTTTAGGTAACTACTCACAAACATTTTCTGCGATTTTGTGAGTGACCTTAATGGCATCATTTTCAGTGCAGAAGTTTAATACTTTGATGACATGCCATAAGCTCTGTTTTATTTGGTGGTTTTATTTTTGGTGTCATGCTCTTTTAAGGAAACTGTCCAAGACAAAAAAAAAAAAAAAAAATCACCAATTTACACCACGTTTTCTTCTAGAGTTTCCCAGCTTCAGCTTTTATATTGAGAGTTTTGTTCATTTGGTTTATACCAAGACAGGCCTGACTGTGAAGGTTGAGTGCTCTTAGGTGACCACAGCTTCCATTACAGGCGCACAGCACACCGCATTTATATTTGGGCCTTTTAAGTTCATGTTTATAGATGTTAGGAGATAGTTGCCTAAACATCATTCTTTTCTAGATGGAAAATCAGTATTCCTGCACTATTTGTCAAAAAAAAAAAAAAAAAAAACAACTTTTAAAAGTATTTTAAATGTGTATAAGTGTTTCGCCTACAAGCATGGCTGTGTACACATTCATACAGTGTGTACGGAGGCCAGAAGGTGGCATTGGATCTCTGGGAATTATAGTTACAGTTGTTAGCTAGCATGTGGGGGCTGGGAATTGAACCCCAGTCCTCTGGAAGAAAAGCCAGTTCTGCTAACCATTGAGCCATTTTCCCCACCCCTGAAAAACCTTTTTTCATCCCCCATTGACTAGTTTTGATTCCCTTATCAAAAAAGAAAAAAAGCTTCTGTCGGGAATTTAATCTCAATGATCTGAAATGGCTATCCTTACAAGCGTACCTATCACCTCAAATCCTGCTACTCTGTGGTAGGTTTTAATTAGGAAACATGACTTCTTCATCCTCTGTTCCTTTTCAGTTTGTTTGACTACTCGTTTTTCCGTGCGAATTCAGGCCCAGCTCGTCCGTGACTGAATGAGGTGGGAACAGAGAGAGAGTGCACAGAGCCTCTGGATCAACATGAGCCGTGAGGCCACTTGAGACTGAGTTTTACAGTCTGTGAACACAGGATGACTTTCTAGTCACTTACGACTTCCTCAGGTTCCTTCAACTATGTGCGCATCTCTGACCCTCCACAGGGAGCGTCCCATCAGCAGGAGAAGTCACTTCCTGAGGCTGACTTCACCTGCACTTTGGCAAGCTGGTCCAGAGAGATGAAAGTCACAGCGCATACTTCTGTGATTCCACAGAGCCTTGACCTTGCTGCTGAGATCCACGCTGAGCAGCCATGTCTGCCCCAGCTGGCACAGTGCGCTCCTCTGAGCCCCTGGACACAATGCCAGCTCAAAGCCGGGGGCCTAATCGAGCTCTCCTCGGTGAAAAGGAGACAAGGCTTCCTAACGTGTTTCCTGATCTAGAAGCAGACCCTCAATAAACACAAACCTAATCGTTTCAGTCTGTTCCCCGGACCTCCGGAGTGTCTCAGAAGCTATGGGGTTGAGGAGGCATGGCAAAGATTTGGTCCTGGTGAGGTCTCCCTGGGCACCACTGTCTGAGCTACCACCGAGGACCCATATCTTACCTGTAGCAATGCAATGCCTATGAAAATACCAGCCACAATGGTTAAATTGTCCTGTAGCCACTTCTCAAACTGGGGCACGCAGCCTTTCGTGTAGATTACAATCTGTTGGTCCACTTCCTTTACAAGGGAAGAGAGCAAAGCGTCACAGATACAGCCTTGGGCATGTGCAAACACTCCAGAGCGGCACAGATACAGTGTTGGGCATGAGCAAATGCTCCTTAAAAAAAAAAAAAAAAAAAATCTGTGTGCTAAGCCTCAGGGGCAGGTTCCACTTACTGGCTTTTGCCTGGCATCATAGCCACACTGAGTGTTGATGACATCTTCCTGGGGAAGAAAGAAGGAGAAAAGTGAAACTCATTCTTGTTCAACAGAAAGCCCACCTAAGAACGAACAGGAGACCCTGTAGTGTCAGTGAGATAGATCACAGGACAGTAGCAGATATTATATTAATAACAATATTATTTAAGAAACATTATTATTAAATGCCATGCACTTATAAGAGCAGCTTAGGAAGTATGTAGTAAAAAATTCCCCACCTTAGAAATGAGGAAAGCTAAGACCCTAGCTGGCCCATTATGCTGGTGTGTGTGTGTGTGTGTGTGTGTGTGTGTGTGTGTGTGTGTGTGTGTGTTAAGATTCAAATAACTGCCAACCTCAGGAAGCCTCAAGGGCTTGGAAAACTGGAAACATAGACAAAAACCAAACTTAAAGGACAAAAATGACCATCTTTGTGCTCTTTGGCCATTTCTACTTTTTAAAAATAGTGCTAGAGGTTAGATCTAGGGTCTTATGCATGCCAAATATGTGCACGTCCCTTTTAATCTATAAAATTCTGTTGCTGAAAGTGTTTTCATTTTAATGAAAATGCATTATGTCACAAAGCAAAACAGTCCGGTTTAGCTGGCAGCCTGACATCGCCAGGGTCAGGTTGGAAATGCTGTGGGCCAACTATTTCCTCCCCTCTGAGGGTCAGAGGATCTCCTCAGCTTAAAGTTCACGGCATGAGACAGACCTACTGAGGGATCTGCAGTTGCCTAGTGACGCTCGGAGACTCTTCTCATTTTTCTCATGGACAGCTGATATAGGACAGAGATAGAGAACAGGGAGCATGCTGGCCAGTACGTGCCCAGGCGGAGTGGGTAGCATGGGCTCCATGCTGGGCATCCTGCTGCCCCTTGACCCACCTCAGAGGAGGCGGACAAGCTGGCTAGCAAGGAGTCACAGCCAGGCTGGCACAGTTCTTAGTGACATCCAGCCCAGGCTGGTGTGCTCTCCAGAAGGTTAGCAGCTCAACACCCTAAAACCCCAGACTCCTTGCAAGGCCTCCAACCTTGCAAGAGCGGGACCCTGTGGTGTTTGTTTCCACTCAGGCCTGTCCAGCAAGGGCAGCAGACACTCCTCACATGCGTCACACTAACTCCCAGTTCTGGCTTTTCGCTCCCAATACAGGTTCATTTTCTTCATTCTACAAACCAGGCACACAGTAATACGCAGTAAAAAGGAGCGGCTTGTGAACTGGTTCTTTTTAAAGTAAGACACAAATGGTGGCTGCTGTGGCCATCCTTATGCCACCTCCTGGGCCACTGCAGCTACCCAAGCAGCATTCCCAAGTTGTCACGTCTCACTCCCTCCTCTCCCTCCTAAGTCCTGGCCCAGATGTCAGATGAGAAGAAGGGGTTTACTAAACCCAAGCTCTGGCAGATAGATGGCTCACCCGTGAGCCCTACATTTTCGTAAAGGTGACAGAGGCAGGCTGTTTGAGTCTGGCACACTCTGTCACCTATCAGGACTGTGGTTTGGGGAAAGTCACTTGTACTCCATATTCCTTGTTTGTTTGTTTGTTTTTCAACCCAGAACAGGACTTCCCTTTCTGACACAACAGAGCTCAGAATGGGAACCAACACACCCTGGCTAAGTTCCAGTCATCTTGTCTTGACTGGGAAGATTGGCACACATTACCCTCCTCTAGGACCTACAACCAGGCATGTGCTTGTGACAAAGATCACTCTGCCACCACAGGCAGGGTGAGCACAGGGCCCACACCTGCTGGCAGAGAGCCGCCGCTCTATATTGATACAGTGTTCTGCCTGCATGTATGTCTGCGCACCAGAGGAGGGCGCCAAATCTCACTATAGATGGTTGTGAGCCACCATGCGAAGGACAGCCAGTGTCCAGCCTGAGCTGCTGCTCTTACCGCAGGGTCTTTAGTGCAGCAGGAGAAGGGCACACCGCATCGCTCTCGGCTTGCATTGGAATCTGTGCAATTGAAGTAAATATTTAGGTTCCAATCATCAGCTCCAAAAGCCCCACAGCACTGCCACTAGAGCAAACAGGAGAGAGTTAGAAAGGACACCCGGGCCGGGAGGTGACCAGCCCCCTGAGCTCCACCCACCCAGCCCCTGCCAGATCCAGCACCTCGTTTTATTTTCTAGGTGAAAATGAACCTAAACGTTCCTGTGAACCCTTCCGAACTTGGCCTGGTCACGTTCTAGGAGGGTTAAACCAGACCACTCTGGAAGGAAAGATAAAACACAAGCAACCGTGGTAGCGTAGAAGAATGAGGCAACCGCTGTTGTGCTTAGGGTTCTTAAAGCGTTTCATTGAGTGTAGCGGCATCCAATAAACACTTGACATTTCGATGGGGTCTGGTATGTGTGTGATCACTATAGAACCGTCATCTGTTCACAAGACAGTGAATATCAGGCCTGATGTTCAGTGGTACAGTGGCCGAGCATGGGTGAGGCCCTGGGTCCATTCCCTACAACCACACACGCACAAGAAAGAGTGAACAAAACTCACCTTTCTACCATAATCATAGAGGCTTCATTTTCACTATGCTATTTGTTCATATCTCACTATTTGTTTCTATGCTGCTTTTGTTTGTAAAGAACATACTTTTATGTTCAGTTCAGAGGATTTTAAATGGGGGACTGATTATGGCTATAATATAACCCCATCCACCACCTCCCTGTACTGGATTATCCTGGCTTCTTACGTTAAATAAAAACCAACCCTTGGCCATTTTAAGGCCTTCAGGACCAACAGCTCTGTGAAAATGCTTAACTGCAGAACAGAATCACATGAACCAGTGCTGCTGAGCAGAGCTGGCCTTGAACACATGTTCTTCAGGCTCGGCTCCTCCTCTGGACACCACAGGGTTCCCCCGCAAAGTCCCGTCAGCTATGTCATGCAAGCTAGTCAGGGAGAATACCTGGGAAGCAGTGAGCTTGCATCCACTATGAGCTAACGACACAGAAGTCAGCTGAGCAGGTGAAACAGGGCTCAGTTTCACACCCGAGGAGGCTTGCTCTACACAGCAGCTGCTCTGCAGCCCCTGAGTGAAACTAAGACCCCAGGGTCGTGCTGAGCACCCAGAGGACGGCTTTCCACCACGCCTGCTCAGCGCTGATGCAGCATGGCTTTCCTGACTCAGGATAAACCTGAGCCCAGCTCAACCCTTCCAACTCAAGGCAAGATCTTGGCTCACTGAGCTTCTGGGTGACCTCCGATCTTGCTCTAAATATTAACGCCATGGACACCACTGACCAAGTTCAGGGACCTGCTAATCTGTAGGCCAGTAATCTCTTGAGCCTAATATTAGGCCATGTGCACCACTAGACTGTCCCAATAACCATAGGTATTAGGCAGGAGCCCAGTTTTGTTCTCATTTCACTCTCGAGGAAAGAGTTCATGTTTCTGTTAGTCTAAGGTCAATGAGATGGTGTGTGTCTTGGCTCCTTGTCTGTGCCACTTGGCATTTCGCGTGACATGCCATCTGCCTGTTCTGTTTGCAGTACAGGAGCGGTCAGTCATGTTTAGACACCTGTGGCGCAGACAGGCTCTGCTTATCTTCCACCTGCTGGAAGCCTTCCGGCCTTACAAGGCTCTAAACCTTTCTGCACACAGGTAGTTGCTGGATAGGCACGCGTGAGAAACTTTATAAACAGATGTCATGTTGGTTATATTATTGTGAGCTATAGGGGAAGGAACGGGAAACTTCATATTTAATCAAATAAAACTTTAAACATATAGAAAGGGAACTTTCTTCAAAAGCTGACAAGGGGATGGCCGTGGTGAGCACCATTATTGCTTAAGAGTTGTGTCTTCCTTCATCTAATTTAACACAAGTTGAAACATCTCTGCATTGCAAGTGTAAGCCATGGAGTGAGGAAAGAACAGACAAGGAAACAAATGGAAATTAGGCAGGAAATGGGACATCTCCAGCTGGCAAAGACACACAAGGTATTATGGGAGTCACCCTCGTGAGAAGACGTCTCCCCTTGGAACTTACATATTCCTGGGTGAAGTCTATGAGGTTCTGTAGATCAATGTCATCCCTGTAAGCTCTGATGTTGTTGTTAATAAAGAAATACAGCTGGTCTTTGATCCAGTCTTTGAAAACAAATGCCAACACCCCAGCAGTGAGCTCCAGGAAGAAAATAATCCCCAGGAACACAGAAAACTAAGACAAAAGAAACATACAACAGGGAATGGTTACAAGGCTCTCAGATCACACAGAGTCAGTGGCTCCTCTCTGAAAAGGGCTATAATTACATTCAATTGGTACACATCTCCAAACTGGGGCCTTCTGTTTCTTATGGTTTGTTAATGGAATATTACACTTCAAGAAAGGACTCTTAAAATTAAAGATCGCTTCATAATCACATTTTAGAGTCTCTGGTGTTCCATTGGATAATTAACCAACAAAGCCCAAATCAAACATGAGTAATAGGAATTTCTCATCAAGACCCACATTAGGGCCTAATGAATTGCTCGTGATTAATGGACTGCCAGACGTATGAACAAGGTTCTGCCTGACCTCTAGGAAGCCAGACTTGAAACGTAGATTATTCCATGTTTTACCTGCCACTGGCTACCATGGCTTGATTCCACACTACATTATCCTGTTCTGGAGTCACTGTTTTTAGTTCTTCCCTGCACCTCCTATACAGTGTGAAATAGAGCTGTTCATCCTAAACAGGTCAGAGAGGAAGTGGGCCGGGGCGTGACGGTGGCATGAAAACAGTTTCCAATCCTGAAAAACGAAGCCCTGGGGAAGGACTTCCTTGGGAACGCTAGCTGCTCTGGTGTCTTGCCTGGGCAGCACCCTCAGGAAACACTTTAAATAACACCACAATGCAATCAAAAGGAGCCTTCTGGCTAAGGCAGATAACAAGGTGGGAGGCTGGAGAGCAAGAGGCCAGGGCTCTACTGCTCAGATTGCTGGGGAAATGTCCCTTCCACCCAGGTACTTCAAAGCGTCTCATCTTAGTCATCCTAACTGCAGGCTCCACCCCTGGACCATTTTCATACCTCCCCAGCCCCCCGCCCGTCTTCACCCTCTGCAAACTGTTTTGTGATCTTGAGGTGAAAATTTGGGGGACATGTTGTTGGGTGTGGCCACTCCCATGACATGGAGTGACACCTGCTTCTTTGTTGAGGGATTGTGAGGCAAGAGAGGCAGAAGGACCAAACCAGTGCCTGAAAAAGTCTAGGACGCCAAGTGAGGACATAAATTTTAAAGTTCTTAATTAGCAGTGGTAACAATTTCAAGTTAAGATTTCCTTAGGAAAGAAAAGAGAAAATTAGCATTTGTGCTCCCTGCCTTCCTGCCCTTCTAAAGGGGTACCACTCTGAGCATGGAGATATAGTCCTCACACCACAGAAAGAATAGAACCCAGACTCTCAAAAGTGTGCACGAAACAGCTGGCAGGCAGGCTAAGATTTCAGATGTCTGCTCTGACCTCCACTTTCCCGCTGTCCCAGTAAATTCTCTCGAGTAACATAACATGCATATAACATATTGAGTCCAATCTCAATCAATATCAAATATTTGGCAGAGACCTATCTATATTCCCGGCTTTGTGGGCTAACTTCTCCATTTCCAAAGGCGCAGAGAGTGACCTTGAGGCCATTTCCACCACATCTGAGGAAAAGGAAGCCCAGCTCCTCAGTGGACTGTGCCTGAGACCGATGACCTCCCCCCCCCCCCCGAATCCCAGGTCTTCTGTTGGCATGAGCCATGTGAAAAGATCTGGGCTACCAGCCTCCAAGGCTTTCAGGGAGTTGCCCTGAAATGGTTGCCCCAGTATGAAATGGGTTACCCTAGGACAGTGTGGCAGTCTCTTCTTGGAGATGCCCATGAGATGCTAGAGAGCTCTCCAGCAGACACTCTGGAGTAGAGAATCACACACTGTCACTGCTCACACGAGTTCTAGGCCAGGCTCTGGGTTTAAGCGAAAAAGACCCTGGAAGATGAGTCGGTGGGGCTGCGAACGGCTGTGATAATAGGGATATCAAGCAAACGAGTTCTCTGGAAATTCCCGTGTCCTCCCTCATCCCAGCAAGGCTAGTCCTTCTGATCCTTTCTCTGTTCTTGGAGAGGACAGTGAGGAATGCTGCTTTTTTTTTTTTTTTTTTTTTTTTCTCTTCACAGAAATCACTAGAACACCAGCCTCCACACACAAGGAGGCCAAATTCAGTTCGTACCAAGTACCTGGCAGAAACTGACACGCTCTGGGCCCTGTGGGCCTACGCTGCACTTTCCAAAGGGAGAGAAGGTGAGTTGAAGTTACCTCCGAAGGCATCAGTCAAGAAGGAAGCTGGGCTTATATTTCACAGGGCCATTTACCATTCTTATTTAAGATACAGATATGTAGCGCACGCCACTGTTGTGCTTGGAAAGGAGCAACAAAGGGAAGGCTTTCATTGTTCATTCTCTACTTTGCCCCACATACTTCCATACTTTCTGCTACAGTCCTTCCTCTGTAAGTACTGCAGTCACACAAACACTGAGGAGTAGCTAAAAAGTGCTGGTGGAAAAAAGGAGGACTTTCACATTTCCTGCACCGTCATGTTTGCTCAAACTGCGCAAGCCGGGGAGGCCATAGAAGCTGGGCCAGAACCTCGTTTCCCTAGACCGTTTTCTATACAGCTTTCTATTTATAATATTCACCACCCCCGCTCACACATACACCACACAGCCCTCTACACCTCACTCCTTCCTAACGCTACTTCAGGGATGGGAGTCAAGTCTACATGGCGAGTGTGGGTGGTATGGACACTGCCAAACGGGCATGTCCAGGCAGGGCCAGAGCGGGCAGGGCAGGACTGAAAAGCTCTCTTGAAGTAAAAATGTCCTGGGCTTTGCCTTTTTTGCCTCGGCCTCTGGTACGCTCACCAGCTCGCCTGCTAGATCTCAAGCTGAGAGCAGAGTCTGCCATACTTACGAACTTGAGAAGGAAGGTGTTTTCCCGGAGTGCTCCGATGCACCCTGCAAACCCGAGGATGAACATCACTCCTCCTACCACGAGGAAAAGCCAGACTGGGTCAAAGCCACCGAGGTCAGTGATGGACGAGATGTTGGAGAGGACACCCTAGGAGAGGAGAAGAGCACATGAGGGCTCCGGACACGACAGGGTGGCAGCAAGGGAGGGTTGGTTTACCTGCCTCTCCCCTCCCAAACAACTCCTTCAGCAGTCACCTGGCAATCTGGGATGACTGGTATTCCAGAGACCAAGGAAGGGAAGAGGAAGTGGGAAAAAGAACAGGAAAGAAAGGAAAAGGAAACTAAGTAGGGAAAGATAAAAGGAAAGGGAGGGAGGAAGAGAAACATTTCTTTGCAAGATCAACTGTATTTATATTTTTGGTAAAATGATAAATAGCAAGACAATAGTAATAGAAACACTTGTCAGACTCTGGACAGAGAAAATATAGATACCTTTGCTTCAGTGCCTTTAAATACATATGGTTTTGAGTAAAAAGTGGATATAATAACTACCATACCATCTTGAACAGAAAGGACTGTTACTTTAAGTTCCCCAGGGCCACTTGGAAGCCCTTGACATGTCTCCAGAAATATGAGAGGAACTAGGAGCTTGAAAATGAGCTTTGTAGGTTTGGTTATAAGTAGCCACAAGCTTCCCAGGGAAGAGAGCTTTCCCCAGAATCCACCCTCATGGGTGGCCTCATTAGGTTCAGGTCCCAAAGGTCCACTCCTGTGCTCCATGTCACTTGTTGGAGGCATTCCCTATACTTCAGAGGCTGAGATTAAACAACAGAAGTCACTCCCTTGCCTTTAGTGCCTTTATTCTTCTACCGCATAAGGAATCCAAAGTAATTTTATTTCTCCACAAGCAATACCCATTTAAAAGAACTCCTTTCTGAAGTGTGAAAACACATCAAAACCTGCCAAAAATTATGACACTGTTTCTCTAAAATGTAACGTACATACTTGGATTTGGTCTGTGGAGACCAGTGAAAGTGTTTTTGGAACTGAGAGTCTGAAATATCCAGAATCATCAATATTTTATTTTCCTATTAAAATTTTTTTGAACTCTCAAATCAAAATACCTCCAGACAATTGTGGCATGGTTTGCCATGCCATCTAAAATAGATCTTCAATATCTGTTTACACAGTCCTGCCACTGACCTGACGCAGGGCTGATGGATCTGTTTTGGATGAGGAAAATGTAAGCTGGAGCGGTTTGGTGATGGGCTGAAGGTCATGGGTTATTTTAGAACTAGAGCAGATGTCTATGTCAGCACTTCCTGATCACGCCCTTGCCTCCATGTGTTTCCCAGGCAGTGCCAATCAAACCGGAGTGTAGGAGTTGTAACTTTCAATCCACTTGAAAGTTGTTGAGACATTTGGGGAACAGCACGTTAGGGCTTCTGAGAAGTTTCTTTTTAGGAATGTCTACTTGAAGACAACAGAATGTGCTTGAAGAAAAGCTACACCACTAAACGATAAAGCTTTAACTTAGCAAAAATGGCAGAGGGCTTAAAAAGTCACAAGGGAAGGCCAGGCAGTTTCAAAGCACAGGAGGGAAAGGGTGTGTGCCCAGGACCTGGCATGGCAGCTGCGCCCTGCAGGGGGCTGCACAGGCCTATGGCTAGCTCCAGTTTTGTGTTTGTTTAGAACTTGTACATTTACCCCTGGGGGGTGGGGGAGGACCAGATTGAAAACACAGAAACACCAAAACAAATCTGCACTTACACAAATGATGTAGAGAAAAAAATGTTGCCGAGAAAAAAATGTTGCCAGAGAAGTCAACTAGAATGTAGCCAGGGGTGTTAAGGCCCAGGGCTGGAAGGAGGCCAGCCATTCAGTGTGCCACAGGTGTTAAAGTCCTCACAGTCTGTCGGTGCTAAGCAGGCTTTGAGTGCACATGTTGCAATCTGAAAAGTTCACTATTGGAGAAGTAGACTTGATTTGCTTGGTTTGAAAGACAAAGAAGCAGAGTTGCAGGGGAGAGAAAAACATGTTCTTTTTTTCTCACAGTTTTTTAATCAAATAATTTAAATTGATACATAGTAATCACACATGTTCCTTTGGAGGTACAGTGCAAAGTTTCAATCAGTGCCTATAGTGTGGGATGGTCAGATTGAAGTAACTACCATAATATCACCTGGATATCTGCCATTCCTTCTCAGCAGCTTTAAAGTTAGCAAGCATTTGCAGGAGACGGATCCAAGATGGTGGCGCCAAGTGCTCACTGTGTCTGATCAGTAGGGCAGCAGTGACTGCATAGTGACAAACAGACCAAACTGTGGGCCCCCAAACACCAATGTCCGTGTTTCCCATGTTTATCACTCTTACAGATGATAAACACATTCAGCAAAGTGGCTGGATACAAAACTAACTTTAAAAAAATCAGTAGCCTTCCTGTATACAGAAGACAAATGGACTGAGAAAGAAATTAGGGGAACTACACCCATCACAGTAGCCACAAAAACAAAAGTATCTTGGTGTAACTTTAACCAAGCAAGAGAAAGACTTGTATGATAAAAAAAAAAAAAAACTTCAAGTCTCTGAAGAAAGAAATTGAAGAAGGTATCAGAAGATGGAGCGATCTTCCATCTCATGGATCAGTAGGATTAACATGGTAAAATTGGCCATCCTACCAAAATCTATCTACAGATTCGGTGTAATTTCCATCAAAATACCAATACAATTCTTTACAAACCTTGAAAGAACAATTCTAAACGTCACTTGGAAAAACAGAAAACCCAGAATAGCTAAAAGCATTCCTGTACGATAAAAGAGCTTTAGGAGGTATCTCCATCCCTGATCTCAAGCTGTACTATAGAGCAACAGCAATAAAAACTGCATGGTACTGGCATAGAAACAGACTGGTAGATCAGTGAAATCGAATTGAAGACCCAGAAAGAAACCTACAAATCTACAGACTCTTGGTTTTTGACAAAGGAGCCAAAACCATATGTTGGAGGTTGGTCTGATATCTGTGAATGGCCCTCAAGATCTGATTACACCTATCCTTGTTTTGTAAGCCTGCCTAAGACATACCTGATTGGTTGATTAAATGGCCTATACTTGGGCAGGGCAGAATGGGGTAGGTGTGGCTAAGATTCCCGGGCTTTGGAGGACAGGAAAATCATGGGAGACAAACAGGAAGACAGAAGAAAGGAGGATGCCATAATGGATTAGTGTGGAGAAAAAACACACACAGGCCAAGAGGAAGGACTCCAAGAATGGAATGAAAATGCCCAGATGAAGACTACAAGCAAGTACCATGAGATTACCAATGAATGGTAGACCAGATGAGAAGGATTAAGATGGATGGCATTGGATGGGGGCTGAGAGATGAATGGTGAGGTTACTGGGCCAGCGTAGGTGAAATATCTGCCCATCCCAAGATAATTAAGGCAATTATAAAATCTAACAGGTGTCTGAGTCTTATTATTTGTGATACCAGGTTAAAAAGTACTGCCATGATAATCTTAGGGCTAATAATAAACATTATATAGCCCAACACATTTTTTTAATTTATTGCAACTATACAATGAAAAAAATAATAGCATCTTTAACAAATGGTGCAGGTCTAACTGGCTATCTACATGTAGAAAAATGAAAATAGATCCGTATTTATCACCCTGCATTAAACTAAAGTCCAACTAGATCAAAGATCTCAACATAAAACCAGACACACTAAATCTACTAGAAGAAAAAGTGGGTAAGAACCTTGAACTCACTGGCACAGGAGACAACTTCCTGAACAGAACAGCAGCTTAGGCTCTAACATTAATAAATGGGACCTCATGAAACGGAAAAGCTTCTGTAAAGCAAAAGATGCTGTCAACACAACAAAATGACAGCCTACAGACTGGGAAAAGATCTTCACCAACCCTACATCTGACAGAGGCCTAATATCCAAAATATATAAAGAACTCAAGAAATTAGACTCCAACAAACCAAATGATCCAATTAAAAAATGAAGTACAGGCTAAACAAAGAATTCTCAATAGAGGAATAGCAAATGGCAGAGAAACACTTAAAGAAATGTTCAACGTCCTTAGTCATCAGGGAGATGCAAATCAAAACAACCCTGAGATTTCACCTTAGACCCATCAGAATGGCTAAGATCAAAAACTCTTAACCACTGAGCCATCCTTCCAGCCCCTTAAGATCAAAAACTGAAATGACAACACATGCTAGTGAGGATGTAGAGAAAGGGGGGCACTCCTCATTGTTGGTGGGATTGCAAACTTGTACAACCATTTTGAAAATCAATCTGGCACTTTCTCAGAAAATTGGGAATAGTGCTACCTCAAGACACAGCTATATCCTGGGCATATACCTGAAAGATGCTCCACCATACAACAAGGACATTTGCTCAGCTATGTTCAAAGCAGCTTTATTCATAATAGTCAGAATCTGGAAACAACCTAGATGTCCTTCAACCAAAGAATGGATACAGAAATTGTGCTACATTTACACAATGGAATACTACTCAGCTATTAAAAGCAAGGAAATCATGAAATTTGCAGGCAAATGGGACTAGAAAAAAAAAAATCATCCTGCGTGAGGTAACCCAGAAGCAGAAAGACACTCATGGTATGTACTCACTTATAAGGGGATATTAGACATATAATACAGGATGACCATACTTCAATCCATAGACCTAAAGAAGCTAATAATAAAGAGGACCCTAGGGAGGATGCTTAATTCTCATTCAGAAGGGCAAACAGAATAGACACCAGAGGCGGCTAAAGAGAGGGAACAGGATGGGAGCCTACCATAGATGTCCTCTGAAAGACTCCATCCAGCAGGGGATGGAAGCAGATGCTGAGACTCACAACCTTGGGCAGAGTAGTAGGAAAGAGTTGGGGAACAGAAGGACTCGGAGGGGACAGTAGCTCCACAAGGAAACCAACAGAGACAACAAATCTGGGCTTGGTGGCCCTGCAGAGACTGATGCACCAACCAAGGAGCATGCATGGAGAGGACCTAGACTCCTTGCTCAGATGTAGCCCATAGGTGGCTCAGTCTCCAAGTGGGTCACCTAGTAAGTGAGCAGGGGCTGCCTCTTTCATGAACTCTTGTGGCCTGCTTTTTGATCCCTCTCCCTCGGGG